TGAAAGAGGTATTAGCTATATTTTAGGTTTCTTAGTTTGTAATTTTTATATTTCTAATGTGAAATAAGAAAATAATAGATTATCTGTATTCTGCAGATTGAGCAAGTTTACATTACATTGAGATTTTAATATTTTGATTTAAGTAAAGTTATGGTGGAATTCTCGGTGTGGTGGATAGAGTGATGGACTAGGACTCAGGAGACTTGGGTTCAAATTCCTGCTCAGTCATGGAAACGTGTGTGTGCGTGCGCGTGTGTGTGCGTGTAGCTATTGTATATATTTTACAGTGAATGGTTGCATCTTAATTAAATAAGAATTTCCATTTCAGTATATATTTACAATTGAATAACATTGTCATAATGGTTTCCAGTTGGTTTTTAATTGTAGCTTTTACACTATTTTGTTCCTTAGCATTGTTTTAAATTAGCAGAGTAATTCTTCTCATAAAAATAATTGATCTTTGTCTCCAATGTCATTGAATAACGTTATAGAGACAATTTATTTGACCTGCTTCTCTGTTATTCTTAAACATATTTTGCAATTGGAAGAAATCTCTTTTAGATTTGTAGTCAGTCTGATTTATTTTTTACTTTTAGATTATGTTCACCCAGTAGATAAACCTGATCACTTGGAACTATTCCCAATTAGTATGTATCAGGTGACTTAATGTTCAGATAGCTATTGTTACCAGAACAGAGTTGGAGATTCAGTGAGATGTCCAGAGCACATTTTACTGAGTCTGAATTATTTCCAAGTCTACTATCTAACAGTCTGAAACTACCTTCATGCCATATCCATTCTAGCCCTGCTGCAGGCCCTGCTTATCCTTAGTGAGGTGGGTACCCTTGATGTATGCAATAGTGTTTTCCCAACAGCCATTGTAAGACTCCCAAGGGATTTAGTCATGGGGAGGGGAGGGAGAGATGTTAAACAGGCTTTTTCCTAATGAGCTGTGACGCCAGCTGGAAGAGTGGGAGGAAGAATATGGCTTCTCCTTCCTGTCCAGTGATCTGTGAATGTATAGATGGGTGGAAGAGGAAGCTTTTTAGGAGAAAGGTGGATATAAATATTTTAAATGAATAAACAAACTGTATGTCTCCATTTTGTACATCCTCCCACTGGCCCTGTGCACATACTGTGTTGGTCTGCTGCCTCCTCTGTTTCCTTTCTATTCTGTCCCCAAAGCATTTTGGCAAGGTTGAGCTCTCTGTGCTCACAGCTCAGTGCTCAGGGAGAAAAGGGAACAACAAAGGACTGAGGGGGATGTGGAGAGAGAGTCACTTATTGCCCTGTCTCAAGACTGAGCACTGTGCAGTTGAGCTGGTGAAAATCATGCTTATTCTCTCTCTCTCTCTCTCTCTCTCTCTCTCTCTCTCTCTCTCTCAGCAGTTCTAAAAAGTAACAGTTCTTTGTATTTTTTATTTTCCCCTTTACAACTCTTCCTCACTTTCCTGTATTAGCCTTCATGTTTAGGATTGAAACTTTTAAACATTTTGCCCCTAGAATTTTATTCTTGCACTTTATCAACTAAAATTAATCCAGTAAAGGGGCTATGTTGTACCCCATCCTAAGAAAAGTGTATGTAAATTGGCAACTGTAGGAACATTAAGTTCTACCTGTGTAGTAAATCTTCCCAAACCTCCCCAAACAGTCCTATAGTACATGTACATACTGTGTATCAGGCATCCTTTGCATATGGGTGCTCACTGATATTTCAAAGGAAAATGGCATTGACTGGTATATTTATTTTAATTTATTTAAAATATTTTACTGTGCCCTTTTCCTTGAGAAGGACCCAAGGTGGATTACATAATTAAAAAGATAATATTTAAAAGCTAAAAATTGTAAGTGTACAAATATTTTAAAAGAATTAAACAAGTATTATAATAAAAATAGTAAATAAATGCAATACTTAAAATATCTTTAAAAGCAACAAGGCAGAACAATTGATTTAGAAATCCCTTCGCAGACAGCGGGTCAATAACTGAAAGCTTGCCTGAAGAGAAAGGTCTTCATCTGCATGTGGAAGGACAGGGAAGATGGGACCAGCTTAACCTCTCCTGGGAGGGAGTTCCAGAGTCTGAGAGCAGCAACAGAGAAGGTCCTCGCCTGTGTCCTCACCAAGCACATCTGTGAAGATGGTGGGACAGAGAGAAAGGCCTCTTCTGATAATCAGGACAGTCTCGTAAAGACAGATGCACTCCTTGAGATTGGACCCAAGCCATTTAGGGATTTATAGGTTAAAATCAGCATTTCGAATTGTGCCTGGAAATGGATCAGCAGCCGTTGGAGCTACTGTAACAGGGGAGGTCCAGAGTCTGGCTGATTGGCAGCCAGAGGAGTGGCTGTAGCAGGAGGGTTATGTGATCCCTGTAACCAGTCCCAGTTAACAATCTGACTGCTGCATTTTGGACCCGCTGAAGTTTCCCACTTTCCATAGGCAGCTCCACATGTAATCCAGCCAGGATGTAACTAAGGCATGTGTCACCATGGTCAGATCAGACCCCTGCAGGAATGGGCACAGCTGGCACACAGTTTTAACTGTGCAAAGGCATTCCTGGCCACCACCGAAACCTGTGCATCCAGGTTCAGAGATGAACCCAGGAACTCACCCAAGCACTGCACTTCTGTTATTTGAGGGAGTGTAACCCAGTGGTGTAGGTATGCACACTGATGTAAAACAGACTCAGATTCATGGAGTCCCCTGTTTATAGTTACCAGGTGTTGCTTTTGTTTAGCTCCTGAAAGATTTGAAGATTTTGTTATGTAATTACGATAAGATCAACAAACATTTGACACTTGACACCCATTTCAAAAATATAGGATCTACAATTTCCAAATAACAAAAATTAAATTGACAAGGACAGTTCATTGTCTAGAACTCCCAGGAATAAAGACAGAATATAAGTGTTTTTTAAAAACACAAATTTTAGGATCATTACATCTCTGTGTCTGTGTTTGTATGTTTTCATTATTTATCTCTTCTGTCTTTTTGACTCTACAGAGACAATGTGCTTTTGGTCCCATCTGTTTTAATTTTTTTGACTGTTTTAACTCCTCATTGTAATACGGTACGTTTTGTTTATTTTATGATGTTGTGAACCTCCCAGAATAGTGCATTGCACAAATGGGTCTCTCTGTGTGTGTGTGTGTCTGTGTGTGTGTGTGTGTGTTGTGTGTGTGTGTGTGTGTGTGTGTGTGTGTGAGAGAGAGAGAGAGAGAGAGAGAGAAAACTGATTAAAATTTCAAAATTATTCTTTGTGGTTATATTGTCACATCACAATATAACTATCAAGTATATTTAGCCTCGTGGCGCAGTGGTTAAACCACTGTACTGCAGCCAAAACTGTGCTCACGACCTGGGGTTCAATCCCAGGTAGCTGGCTCAAGGTTGACTCAGCCTTCTATACTTCCGAGGTCAGTAAAATGAGTACCCAGCTTGCTGGGGGTGCAATATGTGTGCTTAAAATCACATAATGAAGATTAGAAACTTATTTTTAACTTATTTTTGCACAAACAGGAAAAGAATTATTTTTCTGCTGGCATTGGCCTCAAAGAAGATATAATAATCCTTTATAGATACCCAGCAAGAACAATAATTTCAAAGTACAGTACCATAAAATTAACATGCTCTATAAGAAAGTTGAGTGTAAGAAGTATCATAAAATTACTGTATGTTTATTATTTTATCAGTAATGTAGCATATTTTATTATGACTTTGTTGGCATTCCACTGAAAAAGATGATATTGTACATTCTTCTGTACACATAATCTAGGTTGTTAGTAGGCACTTCAAAAGTAATTTTACCCTATTTTTTTTCAGTGTCTCCTGATGGATGGAGTAGTGAGTCTGATGTGGTTGAAGCTGCATATACAGTAGTACTAAATACAGAGAATAAACAATAACAATGGCTACTTTTTATTATAGTTTGTTTGAAACAAGTTGCCTTTAGATTGTGGACTTTGAAGTTGTCTTGGTTCACTAAATTACAATTGAGATTAACCAGAGTTTAGGGTTTGGACATAAGACTAAACTGCAGTTAATAAGAAACAAACATTTTTTCCATTCTCCTTCTCATAGTTAACAGGAGAGGTGAGTAACTGGAATATGTGAACCTGAGGTTCTCTGCAACTTATTGTCACAGTAAACTGTACTTTATCATTGTTTTTGAATTGGTCCTCTGAGGTTAAAAAACATATTGGGAATACTGTGTGTAAGATGAGTTTATACAGTATTGCACATGATACTGTCTAAATCCAATTATAAACTCCCTGTTATTCTCATCCTGAAAAGGTTTTGTGCAAGGCATTGACATTTCAGATTCTGATTGGGAAATACCTTGTAGTTATACCTCTCTGGTTCCTGATATTTCAAGAAGCATTGGCCACTCAATGTTATAGTATCTTTTCAATAATAAGGGCTAGAAGCTTATTGTTTTTTTAAAAAAATAAAATTTGCAGGAACCTGTGTGTTGTTTTCTTTGTTTCCATGGAACTACAATATATATACATACATATATGATTACAAGTCTTTCTCATGGATTGTTTAGTATTTATTTTAGCAAATAAAGACAGGAATGAAGGAAGCAGCTATAAGCATAACTATAAAATAATTACAGATTGTTTTATTAGCATTTATCCCAGTTATTTTTATAGAAAAAGTTGATTGAAATGTAGGTGCTTTTACATTATATCAGAGAAGGGTTGGAAATCATATTTTAATTCAAGCTTATCCATTGTCATGCTAGATAACTGTAGGTACTACCATACTACCAGTTCCTTTATATATAAATCAAAAAGAGTAGTTTCATATCATTGGTCTAGAAGTTCATGAAGTAAAGATTGTAAAGTGGTTAACAAACTTTAAATGCTGTGTGAATGATAATGGATTTTTTTTTCTGATAGAGCACACTGTTGATGAAACCATAGGTAGTTTTCTAGCTGCAGTCATCTTAAAGGAATTTTGCAGAAATATACTTAACCACTCTTTCTCTTACTAGGAACTAGAAGTAGCCCTTTTCAGTGATGATGTGGACTTCATCAGTGATCTTATTGCATGTCTACTTCAAGGTTGCTACCAGCGCAGTGATATCACGTGAGTAGTTTCGTTCCTGAGTTCAGTTCCTTTTACCAATAAAGAGAACTAATGTAAGCAAGGTTTCTATGACTTTTCTGAGTAAGTGAAAAGATAAATGTGAAATCTAAGTGCTAAATAAGGATGAAATAAATTCTAACAGCTTTTTGTTTTAGAAAATATGTAAAATTATTATTTTACACATATCCCAATGGTTTTATTCTAATTCATAACTCATGTCCAGAATACAGGAACAGCATGAGTATGCCTCCTGTGATTCTGATTGTTTTAATTGAGGTGGGGAGGGGATCTCACTCTGAACGGAGATCTGCATGAGAACATTGGAAGGTTAAAAGTAGAGCTTCAATGTAAACCCCAACAAAGCCAAATGTGGATAAACATGAGACCTTGTTGTATGACATCAAACTATTAAAAAAAAATAGAATTCATTCTGACCATAATTTGTGGCCATTGATTTGTCTAACTTAGTTGTATATTCAAACAATTAGAAAAGTGGAAGAGAAATCTATTAAACGAATGACTGAAAAATAAAACTCTTGTGTATATGTAGATTTTGTGTTTTCCCCTCTGCTTTTATAACATCTGCAATAATACTTTGGTTTTGGTCTGTTGCTGCAAAAAGAATGCAGTTTTTTGGCACCTTAAAGACTAACAAGTTATTCTTGGAGTGAAGTTTTATGTACTGTAATTCAGTTAATCAGATGTAGTTGATGAAGTCAACTACATTCTCCAAAAGCTTATACTGTATTGTTTTGGATGGGACATGTGGTCTTTCCGCTGTTGTTAGACCTGCTACTGTACACAGCTCCATTCCTGCAAAGAGGATGACATCATGACCAGTGGAAACATGCTACTGATTAAATTAAATCTTTGTTGTTTAAAGCCAATTTTGCAGATTAACACCAATAAAGATGAAGTCACATCACCAAAGGAAGTCTTTAATCAGTGATAGTTTGCTGCTGTTGCTGATGTCATCACCATTGTGCACACACAGTTGTGCAGCAGGATTATATATTCTAAGAGGCATTCCAATTTGAATGGCAATTTCTGGCAGGGATGCGGCATATAGAAAGGGTTGAATCAAGCAGATTGCACCTAGGACTTTAAGTCACAGACCTACGAGTTCTGGTCAACATGACAATGTCAGGAAAATACTTAACTGTTTTGGCTTTTTCTGCCATAAATACTAAGAATGGCTTAATTTTTATATTGTGATTGACATCTACAGCACCTGCTTCATTATTTATTTATATTTTATTGCACAGCATGCAAAAATCGGTCACTGGGCTGGAACAGCATTGGCTATTCTTTTTTTTTTGTAGGCTATATGATTAAAGTACTTCTGCTAATTATAATGTGCTCTAAAGTAATTTTGAAAATGGAAGCCTAGCTGAGAATCATTCTGGTGCACTATTTAAATATGCTTTGGGTTAATTTGCCTATTTGTCTTAGAGCAAAAACATGTGTCAAGATTGTGCCACAAAGCACTGGGAGTTGTCAGTTTTGGGGTAAAATATTTCCATGTTTCTGTTAATGTTTACTGCGGGGAAATGAACATGATTGAAACAGCCTTTGTGATGAGTCTGCTGCAAGGCAACTGTATTTCAATGTTGTACTCCAAATATCAAATAATTTGTTTCTGTTGTCTTTAATGCAAATAGAAAAGCTTTGTAACAGAGGTTGGAGAAGTTACTTTTCTGATTTGACCGTACTGGCTGAAGAATTCTGGGAGTTATAGTCTAAACTCCACCTCCCCACAAAAACCACTTATGCACAAGTGATGTTATGCTATGTAGTCCTCATCTTTTTCATGTCTCACTCATAATTATTTTCTAGTAGTAATGCCTTATGGTACAACAACAGGATTTTAAATGTTACTTTTAGTATTTTAGTATTTAGTAACTCAATTCTTAAGTGGGCAGGCTAACGGAGGAGTCACTTCTTCCATGGCCAGTATCAAAACAAAGTGAGTTTGTTGAGGAGTAGCAGATAAATTTGTCCCCACTCTGCCAGCCAGTTTGATAGGGGATGCTAGCTAAGTGGTTTGGAGCTTTGACTAGGATAGAAACAAACAGTAGTAGTCACTGAAAAATAGTCTCTTAGAAAAACTCAAGAAAGATTTTTGGGCTTAATTCAAAGCTACTTCAAAGTGTTGTTCACAATATTTCTAAAAGTATCAGCAGAGGGCAGTGTCAATTGCATCAAAAAATTGCTACTGACCAGGAGTTCATTTTTAAATATGAGGTAAATACATTTGTTTTAGTCAAATGTATGTTTTTCCAGCATAGAGTATTTTAACATTCCCACTAATTGCTAACTGGTATACATAGGTGGGCAGTACGTTTCTTCAGGAGCCTTAGTTGTTTCTGCCTGAGGATGCCCAGGGCTCTAAATCCTTCCCACTATTATCCTTCTGCTTGCTTGTTTGGCAGGCTAAAGGGGGGAATTTAGCTGAGAAGGAAGGCACATAGAAAGATTCATCCCTCCACAATGTTCTCCTTATAACATACAGTGGTGCCTCAACTTACGACCGTCCCAACATACGACCATTTCAAGTTGTAACCAGCTCCAGCTGCAAAATTTTGCTTTAACTTGCAGCCAGAGCTTCAAGTTGCAAACAGAAAAGAGGGAGGGAAAAAAGGCGGGGGATTCAAATGTAGGTTCTAACCGTTGGTCAATGAAGAGCTTCTTTGTAGCTCTTTTGCCACAGCGGTTAGAGAGCGTGCGTCGGAGGAAGCTTCGGACTGCCTGGTGGTGCTTTCTGCTCCTGAGTAAATACATTGTACTTTGTTTTGCAGGGTGGGTTTGGGTTGGGGGGGTTATGTTTCTGTGCTGTGATGTTTTTTGGTGTGTGTGTGTTTTTTTTTTTCAGCCCCATTGTGTTCCGGTGAGGTTGGCTGTGTGTGGCTGCGGGGTTTTTATTTTGGTTTTTTTCAGCCCCATTGCATTCCGATGGGGCTTGCTGTGTGTAGGTGTTTTGTGTTTGTGTGTGTGTGTGTGTGTGTGTGATTTTTTTTCAACCCCACCATGTTCTAATGAGGCTGGCTGTGTGTGGTGCGTGTATTTTGTGATTATTTTTCAGCCCCATCACGTTCCAGTGGGACTTGCTCTATTTGTTTGGATTTTTTTAAAATTACTTTTTCCCACCAGAATGGAATAATCGGATTTCAATGTATTCCTGTGGGAAAAGGTGCTTCGACTTACAACCATTTCGAGTTACGGCCATCTTCTGGAATGAATTATGGTCGTAAGTTGAGGCACTACTATTTATTTATTTATTTGATTTGATTTGTACCCCGCCCATCTGGTCTATACGACCACTCTAGGCAGCTTCCAGTATAACATAAAAAATAAAATAACACAGAATATTACAGTGGACCCTTGACTTACAGACGGCTTGACTTACAGACTTTTTGAGTTACAGACTTCTCTGGCCGCAAAATTTAGGTTTGACTTGCAGACTGAGATTTGACTTACAGACCAGAAAAAAACCAAAATGGAACAAAAACGGCCTGTTACGGGATTAATCGGTTTTCAATGCACTGTAGGTCAATGGAGACTTGACTTACAGACTTTTTGACTTGAGAACCGCCTCCCAATACGGATTAAGTTCTCAAGTCAAGATCCCACTGTACATAAATCATACAATAACAAATACAATACAAAGACAGAATAAGAAATAAATAAAGGAAGAATAAAAAGAAAAATCAAATATTGACTGGCGCGAAGGCCTGAATATACAGCCATGTTTTTAATTGACTTTTAAAGGCGCCCAGCGTGGGGGCCGCGCGAATCTCCGGAGGGAGGTTGTTCCAGAGGCGAGGATTAGATAGATACAGTGATGATCTATCTAGCCTGCCAAACAGCTATTTAGTGTGCTAGCCAGAGTGCATTTTAGTACACAGAGATGAGTGAATGGATAAGAGGGGTGGGTGGGGATAAAATATGTGTGTATGTGGTTCTGTGAAAGGAAAGGCGATGTCTGTGTAAGAATGGGGTGTTGAGAGGAATACTGGCTCTAGTCATGCCCACCATTGCCTTACAGATGCCTAGTATTAGTATGCATGAAGATTATTGCATGAAGACTGAATTTGGGGAATTTTAGCATCATATTTGGTGCTTTGCTCTGTAGAGTAACCTCTTGTAACATTTCCCACCCCCCTAATGTTATTTAGATACAGTATTTAGCTAAGCAGTCATAAAGACAATATGTACTTGATCTAAGATTTGTAGCTAGGTATTCTGTCAGCTTTTACTAGCGTTTTTCACAGGGTGAATATGGTGCAATACTATCAGTGTAACTAAGAAAGAAAATAATTCTCTGTTGTCCAACACTTGTACTGGAAGAGTAAGAAGCAATGACATATAGTCAAACTTTTCCCTTGTTGTATGCTTTAGCAGTGACTTGCTATTCTTGGTCCTTCTTTTCTACTCTCCTCTTTTTGGGCTGCAGTGAAACTAGCCTGCTTCAGCTGTCATCTCTAGGTTAAGTGGTTGCATTTGCTTCTGTCAAGCTCATACATGTGTCTGTGATGTGATCTGTTATTAGATTAGACGGCCCCCCATTGGCTTTCCAATCTTCCAGCTTCCCCAAGGACACTGTTTGACTCCAAAGCTGTTTTAGTTCTCTCTCTCGGGGAGTGCTGTGGGAGTCATTGCATGAACAGCTTCCTTGCCTAGCAGTGAGCTTTTACAGAGCTTTATGTGAGAGGAGACAAGGATGAATGTATTTTTAAGTATGTATCTTCAACTGCAAACTGAGTTTGTAGATTAAGCTAGCTTGCACCTTTCCTTCCTTACTATTTCTTACAAAATAGTAGGAATAGTAGTAAAAATAATAGTAAAATTATGTACTCCAGTGTCTGTTGTGAAAGCGACATACCATATGCATGTGAAACCTGTCAGTAGTTATTGTGAACGTAGCAGGGTCATGCCCAAGTTTGGATGGAAGCAGAGAAATGTGACATATACAAATCTACACGCTCATAAGTGGCCTGAAG